TGCTTGCAGCGCTTAAATATTTTGGAAACAAGAAACGGGATTTGGGAAAGCGATGAAAAACTGTGCGGGATCTTTCCTAGACTACGTAGGAAGCGTTTCCGTTTGGTTTCGGAGCAAAGAAAGACCGAGGAACGGGATTCTCGGTTTTGGCCGTGTGAGAAATGAAACAAGAGCCAAAAAATGAAAGTATCCCCTCCCCGCTCTTTTACTTACGCCATTTTTCGCGCGGTCTTTGATTCTCGCTCCTCGTTCTTTGCTCCTAAACCGCACGGAAACGCTTGCTACGCAGGCGAGATCTTTCCTCAAAAAGGAGCTGGATCAGATTTTTCCCCGGTCGGCCGCCCGGGGAATGGGAAGATTCAAATTTATGTTTCTTTTTTAATGAGTCACAGCTACCTGTCAAATAAGAAGTTAAACACAATAGATTTCTTTGCAAACTTGATCTGACAAGTATTTCATTACATGAAAAGAAAACAAAATGGACAACGATTTTGGTTTAGCAATGAAAGAAAGAGGCTGAGCCTGATATTATGGACATTTTGACCGGTAGGCTCTTTTTTTTCGGCAGTTCTTGTGTTATATAGTCATGGGTATTCTTTACTCATTAAGTTTAATCTAATAACCTGTTTTGTCTTTGATCTTTTAGAGTATTGTGTCCACGACGCGCTGTCCGTTCTGTTACCTTAAGGTAAAAATGACTTCATTGTTTAATATAGTAACGTAAAACATGGTTTGCCAATTAATTTGGCCAACATAATCAAGGTATACCATCCTTTTATAACCTAAAATTATACAACATTCTAATTGTGGGAAACTCGCGAGGAAGGCTTTCTTTAATTAGCTTCTTACATATTATGCAAATAGGCAAACAAAAATATTGTAGTCTGTTACGCGTAGCCGGTTGCATTTCATATCGTCGAGATCCCAGACTTATCTGAGAGTTTTTCGAAAACTTTTTCAAGGAATAGTTAAAAATTGCAAAACAAAAATTGATTAAAAAATACAAGCCACCTTTGTCAGCACCACTCCGTAGACAAAACCGGTGAACAAAATTTGTATGAAATTTTAGAAGGACACGATTTATGATGCCATAATTTCTTACGCAAGTACTTGTGGCTTATTTATAAGGGCAGTCATGAGCCGGCCGAGCTAAACATGGTTTCAGCAACTGTCGAGTTAGCATTTAGGTCCACGTGCCATAGGGGCAGCTTGTTGTAAGCCATAACCTATGAAATATGCACGTTTTACTACTTATAGCTTATGTACTGTTTAAAAAACAAAAAGTAGTGTATTATTATTGCGCTAATATTTAGATTTGGAGTTATTTTGGTCTAAAAAATTGGACGTAAACCGTTAGTAGTCAATTTATTTCATTTCTCTCTTTAGGTTTTACAGTCAAGTTGCAGAAACAGACAATTCATTAATTAAGAAATAACTAAAGAGAAAAAGGACAAAAATAGTAATACTAATACATTTCCCTAGTAGGTGGAAATATATAAAAGATTTCTAGTTAAGTGGATACAAAAATGAAAAATAAATTAATTAATTACATTAAATAAACTGCTAATACAGAAAAGCAAAAAAGATAACACACAATAATCAAATAAAATATAACTGGTCTAAACACACGCACACACACACGCATACTTCTACAAAGAGAACAAAAATAATATAAAGCCTAGCCATTATTGGAAATTTCGTGATTCCACGGAGTTAAAATGTTAGCGGCCATCTTGTTGCCGCACTGCCCAGTGTTATAGCCGTGTGTTTATCAGATATAAAGACACTCTTTAAATATTAATTTCTTTTGTTTTTCGTTATTGAATGTCGTCGTTTGATGTTGTTCAAGACTGTAATGAATCCAATAAATCTCTGGGTTTAAAGGCCACCCGGCTATACCACTGCGCGGCGCGGCAACAAGATTGCCGCTAGCATTTTAACTCCGTGGAATCACGAATTTTCCAATGGCTAGGCTTTATATATTTTTGTTCTTTTTGTATGTATTTATGTCGTTAATGTCACTTTGAAGACACAGAGATAAGTTTTAGAAAAGTGCTTAATGAGGAGTCCATTCCAGTTCTCCTTGTATCATAAATATTTGTAAGGTCGTACCCGGCAGAGGGAACAACAGCGGAAGTTTTCTTAGTCAGCTCCCATCCACATATAGTTTCGTTGACGTATTGTTTTGGAAATGTTTTTGTTTCAGCACCCACTCCGAATGTACATGATTAAAAAGGAGAACAAATGGAAAGTTTTGAAACGAGGCCCCTCCATTAAAAAAAGCTGACTGCGACACATGTATGTAGTTAAGTACTGCAATTATAGCTCTACATCAGCAAGAAAATCGGCTGGATTTCAACGGCGTGAAAATCTAAAAACTTGTCATAAACCCTGAGAACAGTCTGCTAACAAAATAGCAATACGTTTGGTGGAGAAAAAGGAAACCACCGTTCGCAGGATATAGGTGTTACGTGCATAGGCACACGACTCTTTTTAATCTATTAAGTAAGCAGTGTTACCAAAATAAACTACCACCCAACTGCGCTCACTCGAAAAATTTTTAGCTGCTCTTAATTTAACTCAAACTTAGATTGGCCCAAAGACGTTATCCTTCAGTGGAATTGGACCAGGCGAGCTGTTGCTATGCAAGGTGTGTCAATTTACTATAGTCATCTGCGGGCGGGAGTGAAATCAGTGTCTACAATTTCTCAATCTATTTACACTAGGAAGGAGGTATCTATATACCAAGTAAGCCGACGAGTGTCTTTAATTATTTTATGAATTCTTCTTAAACTCGGTTTGATTTTACTACGTCACACTTTTTTTCTATGTTTTGTTCTGCACCCATAACAGACGAAATAAAAGATCAAATTGAGACTATCGAGGCAGCGTATCAGTTGTTTTCCAGGCGAATGTATTTTAATCATCGAATCATTCCGAAGACCGCGATAAGCTATTATTTTGGGCTAATGTTTTCTGACAACTGGTCTATGTTAACTTGAAGTTAAAAGTGTAAATTAATCAGCAATAGTCAATATAAGAAGGATATATGATTTACAAAGATATTTAATGAAAGAGGACAGTGTATTAAATAGCTTAAAATTACAAAATCAACTTGTACCACCGCAAAGAAGGTGATGAGCTCTTAGTTTACTTTTAAGTTATCTTAAACGACGTTGGTAAGCTAAAGGTTAAGAAATTGCACAATGCCTTTCAATAAAAAGCGGAATACTTTTCTTTTCTCAAGATTTTAACCTATTCAGCTCTAAGCATGGCAGAAATAAGACGCCTTATCATTGGACTAGTCGCTGAGTGGGTAAACCACAAGTAACCAATGGTAGTGCTCGGTAGAATAAAGTCATGATGCTCTTTAACATGTTCGTGCGAGAACCTGTTTAACCCCCAGTGAATAGTTACGAAGAAATCGAAGGACAAAAATTCAGCAAGGTAGGGCTTGTACATTTGTATTTTTGCCGATTTCTCATTATTTTTTATGTTTGACATCGCATTTATTTCCCCCATCCTCACTGCAGGTCAATTGAATACTCAGACAAGACAAGTGTTCGGTAAGTTGTCTCTCAGTCAACCTTGTCACGTTTTAAAAAGAACTGCCCTACAAAATTTGGTTTAAAATATATTGACCACAATCCCTAATGTGTGTTCTACAACTGATCGGGCCAGAACCAAGCCTAGGCTTAAACATTTGAATTTTTTCATCGCTCAGTTCTTGTCGCTGCCAAAAAAATTACAGCTACTATAAAATTTCGCCTTCATTTCGAGATTTTTTCTTTTATCAGTTAAAAAAAGATCTGGAAAATAGTTAAAATTATTTCTTCAACTACTTACTTCCTATTCGAGCAAAATTCGAGTCCTATATGAGTTAAAATAGGAAACTGACCGGGTTTAAAACTTTTCTATAATGCGATCACTTTTGTCGCAATAGTCCTTAGGTATTGCCCTGGTAAGTTATCTGTAGGGAACCTTCTAAATTGCGATCTGTTTGCAGTTCAGTGTGGGGGAAGAGGGGCGGGATTTTCTGTGATTTGGAGCCGGATCGTATACCAAATAATAAAACTGTGGTAGTAAACTTGTTAGTTTATAAATTACGTAATTTTCAATAATTGTTTTCTTATTTTGGTATAAAATCTTGAACTCATCTAAACAAAGAGTTTTTGCAACGTGGTATACCACTGCAACGTCGATCGATCCAGAAATGATTTATCCAATAAGAATTTTTGTCCTTTTTCAAGTTTTTTATGTCACTGGTCCTTAAACTTGTTTCAGACTTGTAACTTACCAAATAAAACAAGCGCCTTGATTGGTCAGCTCGGTGTGAGTTAACCAATAAGAACATTTTGCGTTGTTTTGACATATTCTTTCTACAAGCTTTTGAACGTGCTAAAAACAAGTTTTTACGCTAAAGATGACTGTACAAGATGACATAAAAGATCAATAATTTAAACCATTCATCATTTTTTGCAGACGCCGGACCGTACAGCCATACAAGCAAGGTTGGTACATGTATTTTAGTTGTCCTAGATTTATTGTACCAAGTAGCTAAAAATTCATTGAAGATGTTTAGCTAGCAATGGGCATTTTTTTTTCCTATTTAAATCTTTTCAGTTTATTACTTTTAATCTAGTACTACGTTTTGTTTTGGCGTTTTTATGAACAAGCTAAAATTGATTTTACAAAATATGATTATAATCGCATAGGTTGTTCTATATTTCTCAAACCTGAAAAAAAGTAGAATTGCGTAAGCGGATGATTGATTCCCGTTGCCGTTTTGTTTTGTTTTGATCTTTTTTAAATTCGAAAAAGTAAGAATTCCGTAACTAACAAGATTACTTGTCTAGTAGTCTTCAGTTTTCCTCGAGGATAGTATAGCGAGCAAACTACGCGAATACATCACTGATTCTCCCTGAGAAGAATTAAAAACACAGTTCTCTTTATGGTGATTGTTGAACAATATTTTCGTCCCACAGTTTGATTCTGCGATCATGCCATTCTGTATGAAGATACCACTGGCCATTATGTTATGGATAGCACCGTTACTGTTGATCCCCATGTGTTCTGCGAATAGTGATAACAGCAGCAACAAGGTGAGTTCGATCTGTTCAATTTCAGATGAGCGATATCAGTGATTAATCGAGAAAGTGAATGGTCGTTGATTGACGGCATGATTTACCAGTAAAAAAGGAATGCAATAGAATGGAATCAATGAAAGTATGAGAATAATTTTTTGTATCTAGACATGTTTTATGCCGCTTCACTATATACATATTAATGGTAAAACCTATAATAATAGAAATGGGTAGTCCCCTACTCAAATAATGCAAATGAACAGGAAATGAATAGTTGAACAATTGTTCAACTGAACGAATGATGGACTTGTTTTTCTGTTCTTAGCTTATGTCTGCTTTTATATATTTATTCATTATTTATTAATATTTATTGTCAATTATTTATCTACTTATTTTTCAAAGGCTATTCAAGGAGCAAACATACCAAGTGCATAAACTCCAAGTCAAAGAGAATGAATAATGCATTGCTCCTTTATTTTTTTCACTTCTGCCCTTAATTTCTTCAACAGAATTCCCAACATGGCTCTTGTGGTTACTCTCCGTGTTTCTGCGCACCGGGGATACCTGGCATCCCAGGAAGCCCGGGACCCGCGGGACCAGCTGGTACAACAGGATCACCCGGGAAAAACGGACCCGAAGGACCTATGGGTCCACGAGGAGTCAAAGGCGATGAAGGCCCCCGTGGAAAACAAGGACTTCCAGGCGCCAATGGAGGTACAGGGTCAACGGGTCCAGCAGGCAAAGGCGGAAGCAAGGGTGATGCAGGTCCCCCTGGAAGTCAAGGACCCCCTGGCCCCAAGGGACCACAAGGCCCCTCGGGTCAAGCTGGAAAGAAGGGTGATACAGGTCCTCCTGGAAGTCAAGGTCCCTCTGGTCCCAAGGGGGCTCTAGGGTCTTTCACACGTAATTGGAAACAGTGCGTTTTTAAGAATCTGAACGAAGGCAGGGACTCTGGATTGGTCAAGGTAAAAGCTAAAAGTTTGCCTCAGAATAAAACTTTCGTCAGTACTTGGGTTTTATTTAGAAAGATGAAGGTCCTATTCGCAAATTTGCTTGGACTAGAACCAGTATCCCGTGCTGCTCATCCCCCAGTTCTTCAACTAATTTATTTCCTCTCCTTTCAACATGATGTAAACTTTCAAAAGATTCTTTTTTCTAGTAAAGTCATGCAAAACAAATGATATTATATAAGGGACTGTGCAATAATTATCAGGAGGGGGGGCTGAAAAACTCGAGTTATCTAGCAAAAACTTAGACAGTACCCCCCCTCCAAAACAAAAAAAAATTAGTTCTAATCCCCCCTCTGTTATGTTAAAAATAACGTCGCACCCCCCTCCCCCTCCCACCACATTGGTAAACTCAAAACTGGACTGAGCTGCCATCACAGCTTCAATAATGACAAACGTTATTATGTAACATCTAGTATCGAGAAGGATGTTGATCGTTTGATTGAAGATTTAGACAAAGCATTTGCTAAGTACCGGGGTGCTTACCACATTGGCTCAAAATCTAAAATTTCTGAAGCCAGAAAGAGAAAGGAGCAGGGAAAAAAATCAAAGAACAGGAGATTGAACGCTTCAGATAACAGACGAAAAAGAGCTTGCATTATATTTAGATCCTTGGGAGGAGAGCCTGTTGACAGCTGTGTTGAACTTTGTTATGAGCCACATATTATATGGAACTCAGCAAATCGATTCAGTTGATGAAGAAACATTACTTTTATTCACATCAAAAACCGACAAAGCTTGTCTACGAGATCTGTTTGATTCCCATTGTTTTATGGGGGAAGCTGAAAAACAAGTTCATGATTTTTGCTTTACATAGGATCAGCTCAATTAATTAGAAGACGGGTTAAAAGTCAGTTGTGAATTTGCTTTTCATTTTGATGGAATATTTTCAATAATCGTTTAACAGCTGTTCGTGTTGATATTTGTTACAGTCTATCGTGATGCCTGTATTGAGAATCTTTTATTGCGTTTAATTTTATTTACATTTCGAATAAAACTTAAGGCCCCCCCTCCGTCAAATGAGTGATTTTACTTTGAGCCCCCCCTATCTTGGCAGCAATTTTATGTAATGCCCCCCCTCTAGTTTTTCAGCCCCCCCTCCTGATAATTATTGCACAGTCCCTAAAAACACTGCTCAACATTTTTAATGTGAATGGTAACACCATCACAGGAGTTTGTTCACAGATTCAAGAGTCCGTTTACCGCACCCTCATTGCAGCCTGTCAAGTTCCAGGCGTACAAAGGTTGAGTGACACACACCCTCTCCTTTTTTTTCCTGCTCAATTTTCTTGCACCTTTCCCACTATCAGCACGCCTGGAACAGGCAGCTTTCCAGCATGTACCACAGCATGAAAAAGTACCAAATTAGGACACTGTTGTGAATAAAAAAGTTACTGCGCTTTTCAAAAACACGCGAATTCTGAGGTTCAAAAGCTAACTGACGTTTGCGTTTTTCGCTGCCGTCAATCATTTAAGTGGACCTCGTACAGGAAATAGGAGTTTACTTCAACGGCCTCAAAAGGTCACGGTTTGTGAGTTGTGATTGGTAGATTTCGATACGTTTTGTGTGTTTTTGAAAGCGCAGTAAAAGATGACCCTGAGAACCTTGAATTTGGTTGCTCTGTTTATTATTTCCTATCCATTTAACAGGAATGTATTTTCAAGAAGACGTCAGACAACACAGGGCTGCGTGTCTACTGGAGTGGGCATCTCCGCATCTACAACTGCAACGGCTGTTGTAAGCGATGGTATTTCACCTTTAATGGCGCAGAGTGTTCGGCTCCAGCAGCTATTGATGCTACAGTCTATATGTATCGCGGAGCAGGCAGCAGACTAAACAATTTGTACCGCCCACGTCACGTCGAAGGAGTTTGCGATAAAATTCACAAAGGCACTGTGCGCGTGGGATTCTGGGTCGGCAACTGCTCAGGTTACGGTTCTGCAGATGCGGCCACGGGATGGAACTCAGTGTCCCGGATCTACGTAGAAGAAGTACCTCCCTCTCAAGTTTAATAAGAGCAGATTCAGATTTTCTTCTTAAGTTTCAGGGTTCTTAACACGACGATAGCCATAGACAGAATTATTACTATAAGACTTAAGGATAACTGTTGAGGTGATCAGCACTTGGTTTATGTTAGTACAGCAGTAAATAAAAAAACATCAAAGATTTTAACTGTGGAAGGTGAAGAACCTTTAGGTATCCGACAAACTGTAATCTAAATCTGAATATGCAAATAAAAGCAACGTAAAGTTATCAAAAGCGTGCTTTCAGACCTATTCTCCTATAGGATTTTAAGCTTATCGCAGTTTTTTGTTATATAGAGGATATTGCACGGTGGCGCGAAGATATGAATTTTATTTTCGATTGGCAATTACAATATTTTACGAACGAGCGCAGCGAGTGAGTAAAATATTGTCTTCAAGCCGCCGTGTAATGCTCTTTTTATTATATAGACAAAAAGGCATCGATAAAATAGTAGATTTATATTCGCCAAAAAGTAATTGTCACGGCTCAAATTTACAGTACAGCATTACAATAATCTTGAGAAATAACAGTGAGCTGAATAGGGCTCTATTAACAATGACAAAATGCAATCAAAGCTTTGAAAAATGTGTAATAGACCTTGTCACGGTTTTCGACGCTATCTTGACGTGTAGGCAAACGCGTGAGAAATTACAGTGTTTGTATGAGAATCTAATGTCGAATAATTTCCGTAAAACGGCTCTTCTGAAAAAAAAAAAAAAAAAATTGTAAACTAAAGCTTCGCTTCTAAGGATTCTACTGAAAACAATTAAGGGCGTTACATGCACTAGAAGACCTAGAACCACTTTTTAAAATTCTCTATACATTTGTCTGTAAGAAAGTCCCGGGAAAATTACAGACAAATGTATGGAAAATCTAAAGCAAGCCTCTAGAGAAATTTAAGCAGAGGTACGCCCCCAAAATTGTTTAGGACAATCCTTTGCTTTGTAGCTTTGGTTTACAATTGATATTTTTTTCAGAACAGCCGTTTTNGGCATCGATAAAATAGTAGATTTATATTCGCCAAAAAGTAATTGTCACGGCTCAAATTTACAGTACAGCATTACAATAATCTTGAGAAATAACAGTGAGCTGAATAGGGCTCTATTAACAATGACAAAATGCAATCAAAGCTTTGAAAAATGTGTAATAGACCTTGTCACGGTTTTCGACGCTATCTTGACGTGTAGGCAAACGCGTGAGAAATTACAGTGTTTGTATGAGAATCTAATGTCGAATAATTTCCGTAAAACGGCTCTTCTGAAAAAAAAAAAAAAAGATTTGTAAACTAAAGCTTCGCTTCTAAGGATTCTACTGAAAACAATTAAGGGCGTTACATGCACTAGAAGACCTAGAACCACTTTTTAAAATTCTCTATACATTTGTCTGTAAGAAAGTCCCGGGAAAATTACAGACAAATGTATGGAAAATCTAAAGCAAGCCTCTAGAGAAATTTAAGCAGAGGTACGCCCCCAAAATTGTTTAGGACAATCCTTTGCTTTGTAGCTTTGGTTTACAATTGATATTTTTTTCAGAACAGCCGTTTTGTGGAAATTATTCGACATTAGATTCTCATACAAACACTGTAATTTCTCACACATTTGCCTACTCGTCAAGATGGCGTCGAAAACCCTGACAAGGTCTATTAAAATTCAAAGACGCAAGACGCCTACAAATTTTGGAGGGAAATTACCGAAATTACGTCATCGATAAACTCACGTGTGAGATTATGGAAAAAAAACCACTCGGGTCCCGGATGTAGTCTGTTTACGAGTGGTATACCGTAAAATTCCGAAAATAGGCCCCGGGGCTTATATTTTTCAAAGGCCCTTTTTGAGGGGCTTATTTTTGGAGGGGCTTATATTCGGAGGGGCTTATATAGGGAGGGAAATTTGCGTTTCAAAACCGATTGGGCTAGCAATATAGTTGGAAGGAAATTTACCGTTTTTGCTTGTTTTTACTTTGTATTTGAGGGCAATTTTCCAAGTACAAGCCCCCGGGGGGCTTATAATTGGAGGGGCGATTTAACAAAGGGTTTTTTGCGTTACCGGTTTGGGGGGCTTATATTTGGAGTGGCTTATACATGGAGGGACTTATTTTCGGAATTTTACGGTATTTTCCACTAAAACACTCGTGTCTATATATTATAATAAAATCAAATAATATATCAACGACGTCACAAACCCAGTTGTAAGTGTTTGGAGGAAGAAAACCCAACAATTTTATGCAAGTAATATTTAACTTGAATGTTGTACATAGAAAAGACGTTTTACTAACTCGCTGTGTGGTCTATCTAAAGACCCATGCTCACCTCAGCCGCTTTGCTCAACGCGCCGATTTATGAGGAGACAGAACCGTGTAAATGGCATTGAGCACAACAGCAGGGAAGGAAAAACGCTTTTAAGTCTCTTTACTGCAACGACTGTTATTTTACAAGCCTCAAGGCTTTCCTTCCTTTTCTTATTTTCTTATTTTATCTTTTTAAAAACATTTACATGTATTGGGTCCGTAAAATACATGTATTTTACACCAACCTTACCGGTATGTACGCGAAACTTAACAAATCGCCCATACATACCAGGCCTAGTAATAGTTCTTTGGACACATAAAGAGAAACAATTTCTTTGAAAAAGGTTGTCCCGGGAGGACGAGTACCTGGGAAAAGATCGTGAGGTAAGCCCAGGAGGATATGGAAAGATTGCATCACCAAGAGGCTTGGATACACCATGAATGGGACTGAGAGATTAGCACAGAGCTACGTTGTGCCCTCGTTGTGCCAAGCTGCTGTGCATGCTGCTATGCCCTGAGGAGGATATGTGACCATTCGTTCATTTTCATTTGGAGCAAATGTCAAGAAATGGACTGTGCCTCAGAACTGAAAGAGGACGGAGAACTACAAAAATATTGTTCTGGGTGGTCAAAGATAGTGGTGAATAGATGGACGAGGTCATAAAGAGAAACTTAATTCAGTAACTAAATATTGATATATAGCACTTCCTCAAAATTACCACCACCCTTCAAATGGATGAAACTTTTCAATAAGCCCATGGAAGACAGAAATTTCTATCCTTAGTAACAAACACAACACGTTCTATACACCAAAGCCAGTGCAAAAAATAAATTTGGGGTGATGAGTTTAAATCTCTATTTCATGCCAAATAAGACAAATACATAGTGACTATATCAGGAGAACAAGATAAGTATGCAGAAAAGTGGGATTTTGTACAGAATAATTTTCATTCCTTTTGCTCTGTCATGCCTTTTTCTTTCTTTGCCTTATAAAGTGTTGTAATGCTTAAGAAAGAACAGTTTTTAGAACCAAAACTATCTCAATTTACATGCTTTATGGCATTAAGTTGTAGCCTTTGAGTTACTGTTTTATAATAGTCGTAACATTTATTTTGCAACTTTTACTAGTGCTGTGTATTTGTTATTTAAAGTGCAGAAGTTAATATAAATAAAGTGCAGGAAAAAATCAACCCTTATATTCCTTATTGTAAATAGAAGAAGCAACCCATTCAAAACCAAAATTTATTTCTATAGATAATAACCTTAATATTATACTTTATTTACTCCACACCTTAAGTTAAAAAATAACCTTTCATATAATGATATATTTTATATGCTACAGCTGAAGAATACTCTCAAGTTTCAAGAATAACTTATTCAAATCTTTTACTCAGTTTATAATCCTTTCACTCCCAGAGTTAATAGAGAGTTTCCCTACTAGCAAAAAGAAAACTGATAGAAAATTGATAGGAAAGAGACCTCTGCCTGCCCCTGATGTGTTTTCTATCACGCATGTACCATTAACAACCAGAAATGTCTTTGTCACATGCGACACAACTCAGAGAACCAGTTTTCACAATAACAACTGTGGGCTCAAAAATTTCCAGAGTGCAGTTAGGGCAAACGGATTCCACATTAAATGAAACTGGTTTTGAAAACCAGTAAGTTTTGACCAGAAATGTGGTCGGCAGCAACTTGAAAGAAGCACCACGGGCTGGCAGACATCTCTCTCTTTCCTCTCCTTCTCCGCTTGCTCTGCTAGCAGGGAAATGGAGGGTCTGGTGGACAAAACCGTACAGTGTGACCATTCAAAATGGAACATCTATGAGAATACTTTCATACAATTACCAGGTACTGTTTTCCAGCATTTTGCAAAAATATGAAGTTTGGAAGTTTTAATTAACTTTGGCCACTTTTGGAAGTGAAAGGCTTTAACTGAGTGACGTAAGGAAAATCTTGTAGGCCTTGGTCATTTACACCAATGTTACATCTTCTTTACAATACAAATCTCTATCTTTGTAGTGCCGGAGAAAACATCCAACGTTTACAGGTGCCATCACCTGGTAGAACTAGTGGTGGTGCTGTAGAATGTAGGCTGTTTTCTCTGGCTTCAGCTAAGGCGAAACATCCTAAATTTAGATTGGTTTGAGAATTAAATTAGTACAGTCAACTCTCGCCTTGTGGACACCCCGCTATAACGGACAACCCGATAATACGGACAGCAGCTAAATACCCAGCAAAAATATTACAGGCTTTTGACTGAAATAAACTCCCGCTATCACGGACTCTTGCTAATGAGGACACTAACTCGACGTCCCCACAGTGTCTGCAATAAAGGGAGTTGACTGTATTCTGGTAAGCAACTTTCAAATTTAGTGGGTTGTGCAGCAGAACACAGTTAACTAAACAACAGCCTGTATGCATGTTTATGTCAGACAAGTAAATTTCACCACCAAGTCTTGTTGTTGTAATTGTAAAAAGGGAAGTTTTGCATATGAAATGAATTGCTTGACAAGGCAGTGAGTTGAAAAGAATACCCATGCACAAAGAGTGCAAATGCAAAGAATTTTGCAGTAAAATGAGCTTTGGTGGTGAAATGAGCTGGTCTGATGTAATGACACATAAGGGCCATCGGCCAGTCACAGAGTATGAAGTTACTGACACAACAGTATAATAACAAAGTGTGATATCAAATTAAAAACTTTATAAACATTACTTCTAACAATTACAAATCATAATTTGAGTGGAATCCACCTTTTAGTAAACATCTTATTGATGTCCCTGAAACTAACATTAGAGTCTTCTCTTGACAGAAATACCTTTGTTGGTACAACTACACGTACTCTTTCACCTGACCTGAAAGCTAAATTTAGCTTTAAAGAAAATAGTTTTCAAAACTGAAATTTATGGGATATCTCAAAGTAAAACTATTAGTTGGAACTAAATAAAAAAAATGTATCTTAATTCATTTTGTTGATTCTGAGTGTGAAAGAGAGTGCTATGTATGGCCCAGCTAAAGGGCATATCAAAATGCACTTGTGTCCAGGATTGAATTCTGCTACAAAATTTAGAATATTAACAATTTTTCATGATGGCCTTGTATCTCATCAAATGAGGTTCCACTGGAACAACTGGATTAATAATGATAACTAAAAGAAATAGCTCATATTATTTTATATGGACTGGATTCCTTTTACTTCAAAGAAGTTACCAATTTACTTTAGACTAGGCCATCAAAAACCAATAGAATCCTACCTCGAGGCATATGTCATTATCATACAGTAGACTGTTAAACAGTAAAAGTACATCTTAATACTGGCTTTACCAGATATGTCTTGGATTGAAAGCTGTTAATAAAATAAGCAATCCAAATGATAACCATAACAAAGTGTTCCCTTGGATGACAATTCTTCAGAATTGACATTATTCTGTTAAATACGACATTATAATATGAAAACAACAACCAATTATCTGGCCCCGGTTGTTCTAAAGTTGGATAACGCTATCCAACGGATAAGTGCTAGGGAAATCATATTGTGCTATTCAGTGGATAGTGATTTATCTGGTGGACAGCCTTATCCGCCTTTTGGACATCTGGGGTCCAGGGCAAATGCAAAGCACCAAATTTAACAAGTGTTTAATGCATAAGCAGGGAGCCATACTGTTACTCTCTCATTAACTGCAATCCCCCCCTTGTCATCAAGAAAAATGAGCAGTTAGGAATGACTACAACATGCTGATACTCATTGTAAAGTAAGGATGCATTACGACAGTGATTAAGCTTAAAGGTGCCATGCCATACTATTTCATCTTTTTGGATTTACATGTAACTAAAACGTTTTGTCTTTTCATCAGTTAAGTTCTAAGAATAATGGATCAGTTTTGTTATTACCGAGCCATTAAAACTGTTTCCTGTCATTTGTTCCTACGGATGGCAAGGATGGACATGGATTGAAACTTGAAAAAATGAGGCCAACTTTTTCAAGTTTGGATACTATGCCTGCAGAAATCACCAAAACCGTGGTTAGTGCTCCCCGATGAAATTTGAATGTTTGATATCTTCTTCATAACTTTACTGGAGTATTTCATGTACATGTATAGGTAAAAGCACTAGGTAATGAATTCAGCAACTAATTGACCTAATGCAATATCCTTGGACATGGCCCCTTTAAATGCCATTATTGCAGTTAAGTACTCATTCAGTGAAAGTGTCAAATCCACTATCATGGAAGGTGCTGGAAAGTAAGTCAAACTCAACAAACAGCACATCTACCAGCTGAATGAAATTTCTTATTATTCTTAAACGTTAAGATCTCAGAAACTGCCTACAGAAATTTTCAACAACTTTTCACTTTGATTGACCTCATATGTTGTATAATAAGCAAACTGTTACACATTTTTAATCCATAGTGAAACCTACATGACACAGGCACCAATGGGACCCTTAAAGATTCTCATTAAGTGTTGGCAACCAACACTTAATTTTTAAACCCCTTCTCTTTGGGGAAAAAAGGCTGAGGTGAGAGAGCAAGAGCCTGAGATTGCCCTCAGCAATAGACAGCCAAGCTGCCTACTTTTACATCCAAGCTGTCTACTCTAAAACTTAATGAAAACCTGCTCTTACTCTAGCCACCAACACAAGGTGTTGGCCAAATATTATATGGGGTCTGCTTAATATACGTTTCACTTTACTTACAAGCAGTAGGTTTGAAATGTATCAAAGATAAGGTGTTTTTTAGAACTTAAAATAAAAAAATTAAGTTACCTCTACCTTACCTTATTATGTACACAAAATACTCGATTTTTTATCTCATGTATTAACTTGATGGGTGTTGGGAGAAAATCATAACTGATTAACCAAAACAAGTTACCAGCTAAATCTAAATATTAAAGGTGAATTCACAAACATAACAGTTTTTAATGGAAGATTATTGACCATGGGAGAAACTTGCCTAAACCTTAGTAACTAACTCACAGAAGTTTTTGTCCCATTCCTATTTCATGTTCCACTGTATCGTCTTCTACACTATAATACACAGTCATGTTGGTCATACCAATTCAAATTTGCATAAGAAGTATGTATTAATTTATCACCATTCTGGAAAGTCCTCTTCAAGTCCTGAATTCATGAGCCTGATTGGTAAATCTTCCATATTAGGAAGTACAAACATATTCTGAAAAAAAAGTTATGTCATTTAAATCACTTTAAGTGAATAAACCTAATGGAAACTACATACACTGTAACCAAAGTTTCTTATAACTAGAGCTGTTATAGTGACGTATATTATCAGCCTTGTATGCGCTTTCAAACTTGTTAGTGGTAGGGGTAGCATTTCCACCAGACCCAGTCTGTGGGATAAAACTACTGAAGGAGGTAGGAGTGGGGGGTTTCCTTGTGTAAGCTGTATAGGCACACACAACACCAAAGAGTATGGTTTTTGCCCCTCTTCTAGTCAGAAATTGGGAACAGATTTTGGCCATTTGGGTCTAAAAGTGGGAAATGTTATGTACTTAAAATAATTATGGTACAAAACATCACATTTTAGTAAAAGAGAGGGAAGGAGTTTCAGGAAGCATGCTGCATACCCCCTCTGGAATGGCAGAGTAGACAGGAAGGTCTTAAAGCAAAAGGACTATCCAGTATATGAAGTTCAATAGAAAAACAACAAAAACACCAGAGGAATAAAATAAATATGTTCTTTCACCTTAAACTCCTTTTTAATCTTCTTCTCAATCCACTCCGTGACATGTGTGAGTTTGACCTGGCGATCACCAAGCTTGGGTCTTGCAGAAACAAAGAGCAAAGGAGTTCCACGAAAACCATACCTGAAGGATGGATAACAAACATCAGTTTTTTAATAATTAGCTTCTAGCCAAAACAAACACTGACAGGGTGCAGCATGTCAAACATTGTTACTATCCAAGCACTGACCACACTAAAACTCTAAACTTTAGATGCATAAGTAAGTTTAAGTCACTTATGATAATCAGAGTTGACATAAATCAGTATATAATTTTGCCCACACAGAGCCGTGAGCAGGGTCTAAGTGTTGTGGGTGAGGGTTCATGGATCTCAGGTACTTAGCAATAATTTTTATTGAGTTATTTGTGTCATCCTACTGTCAGCGTTGCCACATTTGCTTAGTCAATGGATTTATGAAATATAGTGTCCGTTGTTCTATTAGTATGTTTTGTGTTACCAGCTGCACTCATGCATTCTGTTTAACTAGCACTAGGTCACTTGATATTCACGTTACAGTAAAGCAATAATTGCTTTGCTGTAACGTGAATATCGTGAATAACGTGAATAATTATTATTTATATTTCTCACTAACTCAAAAGGTGAGCTGCTTACCTCAGAGCATTTAATGCTTAGTGTTATCAAGTTATTGACAGATAGGAATGAAAAGGTTTTATTATTACAAGAATAATAAAAATAATTGTTAATAATGTACACTTACCACAGTCTGTTTGTAGGTGGTGGAGGGATGTTTAATGCAAGAGTTCCCTTCACTGATAGTACCTCTACACACAAAATGATTGGCAGATTTGAAAACTTTTCAGCAGCTCTTTTGACAATACCAGTTTCTGCTGCCTTCTTCACCCATTTGGACTTAGCCAGACGTTCAATAACACTAAAGATCTTGTGCTTTGGGCCACGTTTTGCAGAAACACCTAAATATGATTTGATTGGACTGGAAGGTGCAGACTCTGACATCTTTTCAGAAAATGCGGATGAATTTGACGCACTCTTTTCTGTTACTTCATCACTTAAGCTTTGCTTAGATTCAGAGAGTTTTTGTCTTCCCAATTTTGTGTTCTTCTCCAAACTACCTTCGTCTCCTTCTGTGTCAGACACATTACCAGAAAGTATAGGGTCCTTGCTTTCTAAAACTTCCTCATCACCCTCAAAACTGCTCAATGTCAAGGAATCGGAGCTTTCACTCTGCTGTCCATCTTTGGGCTTGTCTTTGTGGCTGGAGAGATTGAGGGGAGTGTTCATGGCCTTGACAGTGAATTCCTCAAGGTCTGATTCAGGTGATTCAAAGTCTGAGTCACTGTCGGGGGGACTCTCAGACTCCGAAGCATTTTCCTCGGCATTTTTTACGAAACTGTCTTTCTCAACTGCATCATACTTTCTTGATAACTCTGCCATCTCCAATTCCACATTTTCATTGTTACCAAGACTAAGAAAAAAACTGAGATAACCCTCAATATTTAAATGACCTTCAAAAGTGAAGATCAGTCCCCCTTTGTAGTCCACCTCCAAATCCACCCAAGTACCACGCTTATCTACCACCGGAGGGAAAGCCTTTGTAATGACAGGAAGACTTTGTCCCAAGTTGAGGTCAGAAATTGTGATATCGCGAATAAAAGATGGTTTCTTCATCTTCGACAGCTTGTTTTCAAAACGCTCTTTAACTTTGTTAGTCCAGTATTTGTCATGCCAAACATCCCAGAAGGCTCTCCCAACAATTGCATTTACCCATGCAATTTCAGTATGCAGATGAAGAGGCGTGCTTCCTGGCTGAGGGACAAGTTTGGCCATGTAGTGAGGATAGGAACATGGAGATTTGAGCTTTTCTTTCTTTGAAAAAGACACTGAGTTGTTACGTAGAAGTTTGCAAAGATGGTTAAACCACTCTTCCTTTTCTCGACCAGTCCTTGGAAACAAGTACAAAGTCCCAACATCTTCAAACTCCTGCCGTTCTGAATGGTGGATTACTTCATAATCCTCTTCATCACCTGAACTATTGCTATTGTCAGTCATATCTTCTGATTTTGAATTGGACTTGTCAAGAACAATACAAATAGGACACTTTCGAGTCCAAACTTTCTTCATTGACAGTGTTGCAGGAAGAAGCATAACTTTACTTCCAGCTAAATCGTACTGTTCATGTCTTGAGAAGGACACACTTGCTTTCTCCTCCACTGCTCGGGGATCAAACTTCTTTCCTGTTCCATCACTCTTTGGATGTGACAGAGTTAGCTTTGTTCCCTCTAATGAAGCATAGACTGGAACAGTCTCACTGCTGAACTCAAACTTCTCCGGAACATAATTAAGTGACTTGAACATCCACCCCTAAATAAGAAGAACAAAAACAATCAATATACCATATTGAGAATTCGCAATAGTGGGTCATGTGATCAACTTTCTGTAAACATGAATACAATTTGTTTTGGAAAAATGATTTTAACAGGAACTGATAGAGCATATTAAAATTAGGTAACATGTAAATTTTCAAAAGAAGCGACTGCAACGGCTGCCAAATATAAATAGGATTTTTATGGAAAAAACAACTCTTGCCAACCATGTCAGTCACAGTTGGGTGGTTTTCCATACAAATCCTTGTAAATTTTGAATTCTCAAAGTATTGTAAAATCTTTTCCTTATGTGTAAGGGACCTCAAATTTTCTGTTAGGAACAAAGAAAGTTTGAGGCATGTAATGCATAAGGGAAAGATAAAAAATCGTTCGAAAATTTCAATATATACAAGGACTTGTATGGTACCCCACTCAACCATGACTGAGTGGCAAGAATTGTTGTTGTTGTTTTTTCCATACAAATCCTTCTAGTTTTCCGTGGCTGTTGCAGATGCTACGGCTGAAAATTTACAGGATATCTTATTTTAATATGCTCTTTAACATAACAAATTGTTTGTGTGTTTACAGAAAGCTCATCACGTTGGGTATAAACTGGTGACTGTAAAAAAATCCAACAGTCCGATCCAACGAATTACCCTAATTACTTTTACACACGAATATCATAAAAAATTAAGAATGAAGGGGTAAAGATCAAATACGACAATTCAAAGCGAACGCTAGACAAACAAATTGCAAGTGTTTACCCTGTGTTTCACGCATGCTTGAGCAATGTTCCAAGGATTTTGTTTGGGACCTACATGTGGCCAGCGACGGGAAATGTCGATTTTGTTTTATATGTTATAATTTATGTCACGAAACATAGATTAAATAAATACTTGCCTCTTGTTTTTGCCTTTTCAAAAGCAACCCTGGGTCAACTGATTGATAATTGGGCTTAGGTGCTCTCGCTTGCCTCTCCTCGAATTCCAAAAGTTCCTTTTCGTATCTTTCAGCCACTGTGTCCTCTGGACAGAAGAGCCACAGAAAGGCGCACCCCGCGAGATACGCAAAAAGCGCACCAAGAACAACACCATAAATGAAAGGAGGCCACTCTGTTATAAAATATATATACGCCATTAGGCAGCACAGGGAAAAATTTTCAAATTGTGGAGATTTGTCTGTGACAAGGCGCGATAAAAGCCGCGTTCTTGTATCCCCACTTCTAATTCCCAGAACCGGCTCTTGATCAAAATGGTCATGGCAAAAGTTGAGTGACACCTCAAGCGAAGAAGGATCGGGGGTCTCCGAAAGAACCTCAGGACTGCTTTCAATTTCTTCGGTATCGGAAATTTTCGCTTCAGCTTCACTATGCGCTTCCTCTTTACCTATACTCGCCAAAAGTGAGGACAAGGAAACACCAGCCGAAGTTTTTGGTTTTTCGTGATCACCTGCATTTGCGCTTTCACTTTGACGATCGCGAGCCAAAAGGCGAAATGGGGAAGGAGATCTTGGACGTTTTTCATTTGCTTTTAGATAACTTTCTGAACTTGAATCGAAATGTGTCTTGGAAGGAAAGGAACCAGCGTCTGTTTCTTCCTTGGGTTCTGAAAGCGAAAGGCTTTCTTTTGACAAGTCACTTTTTGCATCGTTTTCTTGATCACGTTCGCGTTCCCGACCGCGGAGAAACTTCATGATACCCGTCGCGTCGACATCGTCTACTCGTGAATAACTCGGCCACGTACTCTGTTTTGTCACTGCTTTTTTCTCTGTAGCATCCCTCAGCTCCTCACTAGAAAAGCTTTTCTTAACAACGTTTAAGGTCGCTTCAGATGGGTTTTTATTCGTCTCCACGAGTATTCTTTCTGCCGGTCTGGAAGGTGGCAGAGTGCCATCTACATCACAAACTTTCCGCAATACTTTAAATCCTTCTTCTTCCTCTATGCTTTCCCTGTTTTCGCCTTCGGTGCTTTGGTCAGGAACCTTTGCCTTTTCTTTGCGAACAATGGAAATTTCCTCTTCAGAATCTGAATCTTTTGTGCTGTTACTGTAACGAATTGAGATCGAAGCAAATGCATTTCTGAGGGATCTCTCAGGGGCTACTCCGGTTGGCTGCCCACTTTTCGCGGTCGATAACCGTGGTAATGGTGGTCGGGGTGGCGGCTTTTTCTTACTCATTGTTGTCCACTACTTTCACGCACATCTGTGCTCTGTGTAATTTTTATACTATATGACCATGAGGCAACAAATCACGAAATAGTACTGACTTTCGTTTTCCCCTGCTGCTGTCGCGGCGTCGCGGTCGCCGAGTTTCCTTTAAAACTTACGCGCCCGCTGTTCACAACAAGACCAATCAGCGGCAAATAAGACAGCTCCCAGGCTCTTCCAGTAAAACACGTCCAATATGGCCGTGATTGATTAACCAATCAAATACAAGGACGTCACTAGCGTCGAACGAAAGAAACACGGGTATTTACGTGAAAGAGTTCAGAGTTACATGGCTCGTGTTTATTTTAATCACGTTTTGTAATAACAAAGGAGAGGCAAATGAGTTGCTATGCCATGTTTAGGGTTTTAACTATTTCTCTAGCGTTTCTATGGCTGTTTCCAGTGGTATTCTCTGTCGAGGTAAACTTTTAAAATCGATAAGGACATGTTGTTCATTTCACTAATCAAGCAAGTAGCTTGAACAAACATGATCGTTTTCTTTCCTCTTTGATATTGCAGTCTCATACATTAAGTGTTCCAGAATCCTTTCTTTTTGTGTCTACCCTGGATGGTACGATGCATGCCGTCAAGAAACAGACAGGAGAAATTAAGTGGTCACTAAAAGAAGGTGAGAGAATAACTCGATAGTGGACGGAAGTCTTACTTCAGGAAGTTGCGAACCAACGTGCAGTTGCATAAGCCTTATCGTTTACTTTGTGCGGTTTCTAAAGAAAAGAACGATATTAAAAGTTGATAAAAGGACATTTTGTGAAGATCTTCAAGTAATTTTATGAGATCGAGCTATTACTCGCTGACTTTTAATCAATTTTTCTTGTCGATGAATTATTATTTTAGTAGTGTTGAGATCTTATTTCATTTCCTCCCCATGAATGGAGCTACCGCATACTTTCCTGGTCTGTCGTGATCCCAGACAACCGTCTTTTTTCTCCTATCTTTCATCGGTAGGCTAGGTTCATATGACTATAAACCACAATAAAAAAAATATATAATGGCTTTATTTGCCTTTGAGAGCCTTTACAAATTTTTAATGATTTTTTTATTAAGTCTGTATCAATGAACAAGTCTCGCTGAATGCTTTACTTTCTTTGAAATGCTGGAGATCTTTGAATGTCTTTACTTTGCAAGTTAAGTGATGCAATCAACATGTTTATCAGGTGTCTTTTTCTTGGTACATTTCCATAAATCATTTATTCCTGCATTGTTCTGTCCCTGGAGTCAATAAGATAGATACCCTACAAGCAGAGGCCCTTCGATCCTCCTAGATAAGTTGACTTATCTAAGAAGATCAAAGGGCCTCTGCTCACAGGGTATAAGATAGGTAGAGAAAGTGTTAAAAACCCAAAAGGCCCAAACTTAATGAAGTTTGTTAACCTTTAAAACAGCTGTATGTACATACAAATAATCTTGTTAAAATATGCATGAACTGTGGATTTTTAATATTTTGTGCACTATTTATATATGTTTTATATTATTTACATGAATTAGTATTGAATAATCGACCCTGCATTTTTCACAAGTCAGAACATAAGTAAATTAAGGTTGAAAATGTTGCACATTTGTAGAAAAAATGCTATAAATTTTAAATTATTTGATCTCCTATTTCCATGTCCTTGGACATGTAAGCCAAGGGAAAAATATCCATTCTTAGTAATAGGCCAGATCTATATTCTACTGTTGCATTGCATAAGAGATAAGAAAAATATTTTCTCCCCTGGTTATAGTCAAGTGTGAGTGTGTGTTGAGTGAATAGAACATAGCCTTAACCACAACCCATCACCATCATAAAATTGAATAAGAGATTTTTAAAAAGCTTTTGGGTCAAGTCAATCAAACTGTGCTGACTGACAATTTAATTAATTTTGTTGAAACCATGACAATCATACAAATTTCATTTAAATATGTTGCTTTTGATTGTCACATTACTATCAACAGTTCTGCACCTTGTTTGACAACAGAAACTCTAAGTGAAAAAGGCCAATAAGTACTTTTTTTGCTTCTGGAATTTTTTTTTGCCACTAACAACATTATTATTGTTTTTTGAATAGTTATAGGAAAAGTTTGTTAAGTGTATATTTGTAAGAAATAAAAAAAGGGTGCTTTTAATTTATGGAGTTTTGATGGGTATTATTTCATTGTCAAGGTTGTTGCTCTCTGTCAATAAGAACAATATTTTTACGATAAATTGTATAGCATTTTTGGTAAAATCCCCCTCATAAATTATATCTTTGTCTCAGATGCTGTTATCCAGACACCAGTTTATCTTCGACCAGGGTAAGAACCATTGACTGCATTAAAAATTGTTTTCTTCTGTTTTTGTATTTCCTAGATATGTGCACAGTTCCTTTGTTTTTTAATCCTTATTCATGATCATGACCATATTATTAGCCTAGGATTACTAAAAGTACTCTTCTCTAATGCATTAATTTATTCATTGGAGTATATCATGTAGCATCTATGTTTTAAAGTTATTATTGAAAGACTTAAGCTAATCCTCTTAGCATTTGATCCAGAATTTGTCAACTTTAAAATGAAAATGGGCTTGTTGGCCTTTCATTGAAAGGCTTGAACTCTTTTCATAATAAACCAACTATTATTTTTCAGTAGTTGACAATGTGCTATTGATTATTATGTAGTAGATTTGCAAGAAGATGACCTAAATTATTTATTTTTATTTATCTCAGTGCAATATTTATTCCTGATCCCAAAGATGGCAGTCTGTATGCTTTTGGCAGTGCTCATGATGGACTCAAGGTAATGGTGGTATATATTTTCATT